AATAGTAGTCGACTACTCGTGTATAAAACTCAAATACATGTTTCTGTCAATTTACAGTATAGTCGACTACAATGGATTATAGTCGACTACTCAGGTGTTTAACAGAAACATAAGTTTCTGTCATTTTATAGTATAGTCGACTAATCATCATTATAGTCGACTACTGAACGCAAATTTCATTTTATCAGTTTCTGTCAAAATACAGTGTAGTCGACTAATGAGCATTGTAGTCGACTACTGAGAAATTTTCTGAATACACAGAGTCTGTTTGAACTCAGTGTAGTCGACTAATGTGTATTGTAGTCGACTACAGATACAGTTTTTCCAGTATTCAAAGTTTGAATTTGTGACTGTTTATAGCCGTTTTTAAACGTTTTTAAAGTTCAAAAAATTATCTTTTCAAGCGCTATGAATAGGTTATTTGTTCAGAAAAAATGCAGAGACTTACATACCCATAAACTTTGATCTTTGTGCATTTTTTCAAGTGAAAAATATTCAGATTTTGAGAGAAAGAAAAGTTTTTGAAATTGCCTTTGAACATCATTCAAATACTTATTGTTTAGGCAATTTACAGAGGTTAAAAAGAATCCTAAGCCGCTGCTGCACTTCACTACACATTCAAGGCTTATAGGATCAATTGTGTTCTTGCTTCAAAAAGGATTTCTCTCGGGTTTGAGAGGGTTGATCTCTTGGTTTAGAGATTGGTGTTCAAATTAGCAAGGTGTTTGTCAATTGGTGTTGCAATTTGCAGGGACTTGCAAATTGGTTAGGTTTGCGTTTGATTTTGTAAGTTTATTCAAAATCATAGTGAAAACTCTCAAGCGGGATTTGCTTGGGGACTGGATGGACAATGGATTGGTAGAACCAGTATAAATCCTTGTGTTTGTGATTGTGAATTTCTGAGATTGCTATTTTTCTTTACAATTTATAATATACTTTGCATAAATTTTAAAAGAACACTATTCACCCCCCCCTCTAGTGTTCAAGTGTATCTATTTCAGATCCTACATTGTGAGCCGTATTTTTAGGATGCCTACTTGGTAGTCCGTCCCGCACTCGTGTTACGTATAGAGATGCGATGAGACTAATGAGTCGTGTATACTGTTAGGATATCGACTGGGTAGTCCATCCCGCATGATGATGTGATGAATTAGAATCTTGCACGGAGTTTCATTGAGATAGTTAAATGATAGCCCGAGTCGTTGGCTGATGCTAGTTATGGTTTTGACTCACTGCTGAAATATATGACCCAGAGTACTTTGTATTTGAAAGTACACAGGATTTGTGCCGGTATTCATTCTATCTTCCCAGTGATAGTGGAAGATATTATGAAACGATATGTTGATGTCTTTACTTTCTTTTACTATTTTTCTTTATTTTCTTAGTTGGGATCAATAATTAGCGATTCACAATTTGAGACATATGGCATATACATGAGGGTTTCCTTGTTTGGATTATTTCCCTCGACGTACCAGTCTCGTGTTGTGGATTTCTAATTGTTGATTTTATTTAGATTATTTATCTTTAGTTCGGTATTTGTGTTTAGATGTTTATAATTCGGGAAATATGGTATATGCATGAGGGTTTCCTTGTTTGGATTATTTCGCTCGACGTACTATGTCTCGTATTGTAGGTATCTAAATATAATTCTATTAGATACGTGGAAAAATGATCTAGATGGACTATGCTTAATAGATAGAACATCCACTCCATCTAGCAGCCCTTCCTCTAGGGGCGGATAGAGGTGATCTTGCTATAGTGCTCTCACGCTCTTGTTGTTGCTCTTTTTCTTCTAATATTCTTTCAGGTAATTCAGAGTACCGGAGAGTCGTAGGATGACTGAGTTCTAGCATAGTCGCCGTCACATGAGATTTATTAGAGGCTTCACCGTAGTTTTATATTTTTGTTCAGAACTTAGAGTTTATTTCATAGTGTAAAGGTAGTGTGCCTTAGTACGATTTTCAGTTGTTTCTTGTCGAGACATATTCATTCATTTTGGATATCAGATGTATTCCAGGTTGTTCATTGAGACATGAGTTATTTATGAGATACTTCTTTCTATATAATGGCTATTCTAGTTATTTCCTTTCTTTTGCCTGTTTTGTACTTGCACTTTATTTTGATTCCACTAGAGGATATTGATGTGATTGGTAAAACTTATTGTTACACAGTATGGGTGCATGACAGGTTTGATATCTCTGGATTCATCTTGGACTGCAGCCATATGTAAAAACAGGAATGTCACAGAGATGCACCTTACAGTTTACGGTGGCTTTTTTATCGACGACGGTGGCAAAGTATATGTCAATTACGAAGGCTGTCAAGGAGGCTATTTAGCTTCGGGGATTTTTGGAAGAACTTGGTATATCGCAGCGGTCTGTCACTCTTTATTGTGATAGCATGAGTGTTATCTATTTGGCGAAGAATCAGGGTTTTCATGCGAGGACGAAACACATTGACATTCGCTATCACTTCGTTTGGGATGTTCTTGAAGATGGTGATGTAGAAATTGTGAAGGTCCACACGAAGGATAATTCGGCGAATATGCTCACAAATGTAGTTCCGAGCAACAAGTTTGATCATTGTCGAAACTTGTTGCACATTCGTGATTGTTAAGGCCGTTGACTACCACTTGGATGAACCATGGGTGGCTTGATCCCTTGGGAGAGGGGGTACGTATGCAGCCACATTGGTGCAACCGAGTTTGGAGAGACGACGCAATGGTGCTCTTTGTTTGGTGTCGGCATTTGGTTCCCGACTTGTTGTGGATTGAGTCTGTTGTCGTGGATTTATTCCACTTCATACTGGACACAACAAGTGTAACATTTGGTTGGTATTGGTGTCGGCTCAGTTTAGGAAAACTTTACCGAGGTGGAGAATTAAAGAGAAAAAACAATATTCATGAAATTACAATTGGACAGGTTTTGTTTCTGTCCGTTCGACCGCGACCAAGGGTGCGGTCGACCGGAAATGTGCACGAGTACAGGGTAGTTTCTGGATTTCTATCCGGTCGACCGCGACCAAGGGTACAGTCGACCGCGGACCCTGTAAACTCAAAGGTGGTTTTTCTGTGTTCTGGCCGGTCGACCGCGAAGATTTGGCGGTCGACCGTGCGTCGGATTTGGACTTGGTTTTCAGTTTTCTGTTATGTTTGAGTTTGTTGTTTAATATAAATAAAAACACGATTTTAGGGTTTTGTTTATCAGAGAATAGAGAGTATTCTGAACATTTTGAGAGGGAGAACTTGTGAGCGAGTTGAGAGATCATTGGTTAAGGTTTGTTCGAGTGTTTGAGTGATTATAACCCTTTTGTACTCTCCTTGATATAGTGAAATCTCCCTATCCTTTCCTCGTGGACGTAGTCAAATTGCCAAACCACGTATATCTCTGTGTTTGCGATTGGTTTGTCGTATTTGTTTGGATTGTGCTCATGTTTGGTTTGTTAATCTTCTCATGTGGCTTACGAACTCGTTCGATGTGCGAGCACGCTTCAGCAAAGAGGCGCAACAAATTGTATTCTTCAAATTCCATAA